ATGTTAACATTTTTAATTAAATAATAAATAAAATTAATATTAATTTTTATTTTTTAAAATCAGTTATAAAAAATAATCATAAATACCTCCTTTCATCTGTATTTTAAAAACCACATATTTTAGGAGATGGTATAAAAAACCTCTCTTCCTATTTTTCCTCTCATCCTTGAACTCCCGTAGTACTGTGGGAATATGAAGCCTGTATTTTAGCGCATATGGCATAATGGTAAGATTATGTCAAAAATAAACAAGACAATTTCCATCACAAAATCTAAAACAAATTTGACATGAAGGACGAACCCTCAAAACCTCTAACTCACAATTGCATTTCCTATATGATGTGAGATCGAGGCATCACACAATTCACACACTCTCTATTTGTTACATTGAACCCCAATACAAATAGGAATTTCAGCCAAATTGCAACTTTTTGTTATCCTAAGAAGGCTTGATGATCAAACAAGTCTAAACACAAATAGATTAATCCTGTTTGGTCATGATTCACCTGTCATTAACCCACAAAGATACTTGCATAATGTATTATAGATCAGGATCCAGGGGTCTAATAAGGCGAAACATCGCTTACTAGATCTCTTGAAAGCAGATATTGGAAGGCAAAGTTGTGAGGTATCCACTCAATATTTTTCCCATGTTTTCTGTGACAAGATTGCTGAATGTTCTTCCTCATAGATTGAGGTATCAACTCCTCAACCATCTGCAGCAAACCAACTGGACATATATCTGAATCCTTTGCAAAAGACTCCATGATCTTTGGCAACAAAATTTTCTTGTCCTTGTTGAAACTAAAATTTGACTGAATGTATTCTTCTTTTGCAGCTTCTAGTTCCTGGAACACTTTCTTTGAAGTGTATATGCGGACCTAGAGAATATAACATTGGTGACATATAACCAACACAATAATATATTTACAGTCCTTTGTTGCATCATAGTATAAAGATGTGTAAGAAATTAACTGAGGATAAGGGCATACCGCTGGATCAGAACAACTTCCTGAACAAAGTGCAAAATATAAAAGAGGTTCTGGGTGCTCAATTGCATATGCTCTTCGCGTATCTCCAATCTTAACTCTTGTCTTTGAAGGAAACAAAAACCGCAGCCACTACAAGGAGATGCAAATTCAGGTAGTTCCAAGACAGACAAGAAACTAAATCACGTATCTTCTAATGGTGAATCAAAGCATTTTGGAGAGGAAAAAATTGCTTCAGTTGGGAGAGCCAATATTTTAACTCACCTGTCCAGGACAAGGCAATCGACAACCTAAAATAGAACTCTGTATGATGTCAACATTTATGATTTGGCCCCCTATGTTATATGCTGCCTGTATCATCCATAGGCATGTCAATACAAAAATCAGTTCCATTATCCACTGCTAGAATAACCAGAGAAGGTCTGCTCACCTTGAGTGACAAGGATATTCTTTTCAGATTGTTTTTTGGAATCCCATAAACCAAAAATGCCTGAAAGACAACAGCAAACATATTGCAACTGTCGAAAGTCGTACGTACACAAATATCACAGTAAAACAATTATCATGGCTCCCAGTTTTTAGGAAGGTTACATGCATCACCAACGAATTGTGCACATTAATCCAGAAAGCAAGCTTTTCCTTATATTCCATCCTTCTAAGGTCAACTTCTTCCAACTGATAGACAAGTGACCTGTGATACTATTTTATGCATTTCAATTCTGAAGAGTTTCAATAAATTCAATAACAAGATGAGATCCACAATACAGCATGACATCAAATTTAAGGAATTAGAAGTGAGAAACTGCTTACTTATAATGTTGCACCTTAGGTTCAATATCCTTTAGCTTCTTACCATCTCGGCAAATCCACTGAACCTTTGCCATTGTGCAGTAAGCTCCACTCAATTCCATGGACTTCCCAATGCTGAAAGGATTTTGACAATGTGATTTTAAGGATGAAAATCCCCTGCTATCCAGGCTTCCTATATCTCGCTGTCCTTGAGAAGAAATTAAATCTGATGAATATAAAATAGGAGACAACAAGTGATCATGGTTGATCAAAGGTGGATCTGCAAGTTTACAATATATGGCTGAAATGCACTTGATCATCTCCTCAGAGAGGAAGTTTGGTGTTCCCAGAACCTGGTCAGGAATGCTGGTCTCAAAATGCTCATTTGCAGCATCTATATGAGCTTGCTGAAAAAGAAACATCAAACACAGAATCCATGTATCAGTGAGGCTTGTTATTGCTGTTTATGCCAACTATCTAAAAATATGCAGAATAATATTGGATTAATTGAATTACAACCACTACTAGAAAATTATCTACTACCAATCTCTCAAATAGTTGATACTAAGCTACCAATTTACCTCCAACATTGACAAAGTCAGGGAGTTGGAATCTATGTCTTTTCTAACTGAACATGCTGAACGGTGGGACAGTGATGAGTGACTTCGACAAATGCTAGAATCCAATAGTTTTTGAGACCCTGAAATGTCATCAAATTCTCTAAAAGAATGCCCGGTTGAAGAGGACATAAGACCACTAGATAGGATAGATGGATTTTCTTTCTCTGATATGATGTCTTGTCCAGGATTCTCTGGAAACATCTCTTCATGTTCCATAGAAGTGGCTTTTAGTTTTTCATCAATGGTTGACAGGGATGAGATTCTTGGATCAAGAGCTTGCCGGTACAAAGATAGAAGATACTTTTCCAAGTAGACAACTTCCCATTCTAGAACTAAAATTTCCTCGATCAGTTCCTTGGCAGCCTGGAATCAAATGGAATATATTGCAGCCTCATTTTTCTGCTAATAAGACTGCTAACAATACTGACACTTAGATGTTCCTCATTACACAAAAAAGGTTACCTTAGGGACTGATTTTTCAACTGCAATGTCACAGGAAAAGGGATTGAAACTCAGCGCCTTCTCTAATGCACACCTTATCACAAATTGATCATGCAATTGTTCTTGAAGGAGTGTAATCTGCTAAAGAGAGAAAATAGAGATATCAAAACTCACTTGGGCCATAGTCAAAACACCTTAACACCTTTCTGAAAACACTCAGCTTCAAAAAACACTCAATTCTTCATACGTGACATGGTACATGCTTGATCCTAAATCCTAGACAAGCTTTGCCTCAAAAGGGCAATACATGAGAAGGTTGAGATTTTTACCTCTTGCTTTAATGTGTTCTTAACTTGGCAGTTTGAGGCTTGGGTATTGCTTGCTTCATCATGGCCCTCCTGTTGTCCCATTTCCTTGTCTAGATATTATTACCAATCTCTTTCAAGGTTGGGATGAACTGCTGAGCTTTTAGAAATTAGACAAAGCAAGGGCTCCAAAGAGTCTACAACATTACTCAACAAAAAGAGAGCCAAAGAGGCAAATCATCAAACACCTGAGAGCATGTGCAACCACAAAACACGTAATCATATATGGAGATACCCATCCAGCATCGTATCCATGTCTGAAAAAAGCAAATACAGAAGTTGAAACTATACC